TGGTCCATTTGGGTTGCATGGCATCATGCACTTGAATAGACTAAAATAAGAGAAATAACACTTAAGGTTTATTAATATATTATAAGTTCTAATATATTAATAAGATTATTTAATTAGTATTGATCAAGAATTAATTTACAATTAATTAAGTGATCAAAAGAAGACTAATTAAATATATGGGTTGATTGTGTAAATAATCCATACTTATATAGTGGGCTAATGCTCCATGGATTATCAAGTTGGGCTAAAACCCATAGGATGCTCCATGGATGCTCCATGGTGTATTTGAACCCATGGATCCAAGGAAATGGAAAGGCATGACAATTAGGGTTTACCCTAATTGTAACACACTATATAATGATCTCTTTCTTTGGAAAATCGGGTCTAGTGTATTACATGGTGGGCAAGCCGATTTGAGAAGTGTACTAATTTCTCTCTAAGTTATTCCAAGTGCTTATGGTGTTGTGTGAACCATTTGAGGTGTCACACTTGGGGCACTAGGAACTCAAGCTTCATGAAGACAAGCACCAACAAAAGGTATGTTATTCTAACTTGTGTTGTTCAAGTTTTGTATGCTAGAATAGAACAATACCTTGGAAAGTTCGTAATTGCATGTATAATAGAGAAAACATAGACCCAAGGTATTTAGGGTTGCATGTACACTTAGGAGTGTTAGAATGCTCAAAACCCAACAATGGGAACATTGTAAGGGTTCCGAATGGACATGGGAAACTGAAGATGAGATAAGGGAGTAATTTCCAGAGTTATTTGTAGCAATGAGTTTCGAGGATGAAATCTGATTCAAGTGGGGGGGGGGGGAGTTGTAACACATGTTTCCTGGTATGGTTTTTCTTAATTTAATTTCATTTATTGAGTTTTGGTAGTTTTCCTAGGCCACGACGTGGTGATGGAATGACCACAAGGTTGCAGCCCGATTCTAAAAAACGCGCATTCGTGAACCTCTACAACGTGGCACGCTCTTGGCCACGACATGACGGAGGCTAGGGCTCAAAACCCTAGATTTCGGGCTGCCTCATTAGGAAACCTCCATCATTTGACAATGACGTCTACTCAAACCCTAGCCTTTTCGTGTGTGTTTTTAGAGCTTGGAGCTATTTTGTGATGCTTGGAAGAAAAATGAGTCCATTTTGTGGATTAGAAGCTTGTCTTTGGCTTTGATCTAGCATCTATATCTTATTTCTGACCTTTATGATCATGTGGTGTGTAGTACTCATTTCTTGGATGTGTGAGCTGGTTAGCTATTGACTACGTTGAGTTAAGGTTTTAAGGAGAAGAGATTGGCACGATTGCATTGCACCCAGAGAAGATTTCATACTTATGATTTTCTTACCACTCTGATATGGAAATACTTTTTTTTACTATCTCTATTTTTGAAAGTAATGAATAAATATTTTGGTTGATTTAAAACAAAATTTTATGTAGTACTTTTTGGACATTACATGGTGGTTGTTGGTGGATACTACTTCTTCCCTGAAAGCAAGGGTTTGTCGGTGTTTGGAGCTTCATCGTCGATGGTGCAGCAGAGTGGTCAATGTGGTGGTTTGTGCTCCAATAAAGAGGAATGCAACCAAAGGGAGGAAGGCCAACAGAGGCGGTGATTGCTAATCGAGTTCGCCGTCGGAATACTAGCTCTTCACCAAAATGTAAGATTTGTTGGTGGTTTCGAGTTTATGATTGTCGGCGGTGTGGAATGAAGCTTTGTGTGCATGTAAACTAGAAAAGTGAATGTGAGGTCGTGCTTTATCTACTGAGAGCATTAGCGACGACATGGTTTAGCATTAGTGGCGATCCCTGATACTCTTTTGTGACATCACATAATTAATTTGGGGGAAAGTTACTCAATATTATTCTCACAAACTTTAGCGGCGACAATAACACCTCTAAAGGGGTCCTCCATTTCATATGTTACGGCCTCATACTTATTAGATATACATATAGATTTAACAACTACGAATGAAGGCACACAGATCACAACCCTAAGCATTAGCGGCGTCACTTTTAGTGGTGACACATACTATAGTGACGAGACCACGTGTGTCTGACCTGATGTTGTTGTTAAAGTGTGTCGCCTCTAAAATACGGCGACGTTAATTTTTTTTAACATCAAGACTTTATTTTTAAAGAAAAGAGTTATATAGTGAGATACAATGGGTTGACAACCCAACCCAAGGTACAATGGGGTGACAAAAGAAAAATATCATTGCAGATGCTTACTTAGTTGTTGTTTGTTTTTTGTCTGCATATCTTCTTGGCCTCTTCTATCTGCATCGTGCAGACCATGCGAAGACATTAGCCTTCGCAGACTGTTTATTTTCCTGAAGACTGCAGACCTAAAAATGTTTGGGCGTCCTCTTCTTGACGCAGATGTGGATCAGAGTCTTCTAATATCTTCAGATATCTTCTAGCCTAAAAAAACACATATATCTTTATTTTTTTAGTATTTTTTAATTTTTATTTATTTCAATTTTATTAATGATAAACAATTTGAAAAAAAAAGTTACAATACCTAAAAAAAAGGTTCAACGACACAAACATGATATTTTTTATAAATTTATAAATAATTAAGATTTATTACAATAATGGTTGTTGCAGTTGTTTATATAAATATGAAAATAAAATCATCATATATTCTTATTTTTTCTGTACAAAATTTTATAAAACATTATTCAATACAGTATCGTCAATTTATTGGGAAAATATTTATAGTACGTTTTTAATTGATTTAATTGAAAAAAATCTAAGTTTATTTCTATCCATTTATGTATCAAGTTCTTTGATTCCTAGTTACAATGTTTATGTATAAATTTGCGATCAAAATTGTTGGTTTTTATCAAATATATACGTTAAGTCATAACATTTTAGTTTCACTTTTTATTAAGGTTGTAAAAATCGTTCGACTGTAGCTCCACGGTCGACTGCGGTTAAGAGATGAATCAGCTTTGACGAAGATTAATTGGGGACCATAGATTGTTAATAAGTTGTTAAAATTAATTACAGATTAATATATCTTAAGAAAAACAAGTAATTCAAAATTAGAAAATAAGAAAATTTGTAATTTGAAAATTTGAAAATTTGAAAATACGAAAATATTCACATTTTGGTATAATATTTGAAATTTTGAAGATTTGAAAATTTTGTAGTAAAAAATAGTTGATTTTTTGAATTGTTTTTTAACTTTTTTGACTTTTTTTAATCTTTTTTTTTACTTTTGTTGACTTTTGTTGACCGATTAATTCCGCAAAGACCGATTAATCCCGTCAAACCTGATTAATCCTTAATTTCCGACAAGCACCCCTCATCTTAATCGGTTGGAGAACGTCAAACGATTTATCCACGATTAATCCTGATTTCTGCAACCTTGTTTTCTTTTTTACAATAATACATAAAAGTTTATCTACATTTGTTAATTATTTATAATAAAGTCATAAAAATATTAAAAAAAATCACTTTGAAGTTTAAAAAAATCAATTTATTTATATTTTAGTTTATTTTAATAGCCTGTATATGTTAAAAAAACAAACGACTTTTTTTTTCATGCAGCAAACTTTCGGTCCACCTCTTCTACTGCAGAGGTCTACAGATGTGATTCGTAGACTGTAAATAATTACCTCAAAAAAACAAACATCACATTATTGTTGTGGTAGATATTCAAAAGGTAAGAAAGATGTAATATTACGAGTAGGGCTGTAAACGAACTGAACGTTCGGCGAACCGTTCGTGAACTGTTCGGCGGGAAGTTTGTTTATGTTCGTTTATTTAATAAATGATCAAACATGAATACAAATTCTCTTTCACTTAGTTAAACGAACGAACATGAACAATGGTCTCGTTCGTTCATTTACGTTCGTGAACGTTCGTTTATGTTGTTCATTTCCATTCATTTATGTTCGTTCGTTTAAGTTTTTTTATGTTCATATATTTTCAATTGTTTTTTTATTACATTACTATATTATAGTTCGTTTATGTTCATATATGTTCAATTGTATTTGTTTATCTTTGTTTGTTTATGTTCGTTTAGCATGTTTACGAACATGAACAAGACAATTTGTTAAACGAACGAACATGAACAAGAAAAATCTGTTCGTTTATCCGTTCGTGTTCGTTTGATTGTTCGGCTAACTTAAACGAACGAATATGAACAAGCCTTTGTTCGTGTTCGTTCGGTTCGTTTACAGCCCTAATTACGAGTGGTATGATATAATTATGAAGTTCCAAAATAGATATTATATTTTCATATTGTGTAGTGGTGATCAATTCATAATTAAAAAAAATGTTTAAATTCATCACAAATATTTTAACCTTTGTGTGTTGTAAATGATATATAATTAATGGATGTTATTTGGTACATGGTAAGCCCAATTATAAAAGCATTAGCTATTTTTTTTTAAATTTTAACCGGCAAATATAAATATATAATATATTTCTAAACTAACACTTATGTCCACGGCGGGATTTGATAAAACTTGAACTCTCGACCTCAAGAGAGAAGCATCATCTGATGCCGCTGAATTATAAGCTTTTTGATAACTATCCTTCTGTTAATAATTAGTTTTCGTTTTCAAGATCGTTGGATAAAACCAAATTCTTTTTGATAATGGAAAACAATCTAAAATAGGATTAAACAAAGTTCTAATAACATAAGAAAATCGATATGTTGATTAAAAAAAAATCGATCTGTCATGATAGGTATTTTTCTTTTCCTTCAACACACACATTATCTTGTATTGTAGTAAGAGTACTTGATTTGGCATCTAATATATTAATTACTAAAAATATTAATTATATATTTGTTCAAATCAAACAATTCTAAAATCTTATTTCTCGTTACATGATTATATATTTTATAGATTGGCTATATATATATATATATATATAGAAGTCCTAGGATATACCCTCAAACCATTCGTTCCGCACACCAAGAAGAAACTCTATAAACCGGATCACTTTTATTAACCAAAAGCCAGATATTTACTATCAATATGTCAGAAAGTCTCTCAGATTCTGATACTGCCATGCTTGAATTTGTTCGAAAACACCTTCTTGAAGATCACGACATCTCTTGTTCTTTTCCGGCGAGGAATTCATCATTCGACAAACGACTTTACAGCCGGAGTTCAAGCTTCACAAGCCCTTACTCGTTTGATACATCCATCGAACAATCATTCACTGTAGATTCATATGTCGATTCTCTTTCTTCTGTAATAAGTTCTTGCAATTCAAGGGTGTGTAGCCCTAGGGCTAGCAATAGTATCAACAATCAAGTTTTTCATGATAATTCTATAGAGAGTTCATGCAGTGAATCGACTAAGAGCCCTAGTTCAAGCAGATCTCAATCGCATTCCTCGATAATTCTTGGTTCAGATAACTCAAATATCTTTCAAGTTACAAATTGGGAAGTCGGACCTACACTTCATAGCCCGTGCTCACAGATTTTAACGGAGGAAGCGCAGTTTAAACTTGATTTCTCACTTGGAAAAGTCGAAAAGATACAGAAAAGTGATCAAAAACCTAAAGATTGGAGACGGTTTAGAGGCGTAAGGAGACGACCATGGGGAAAGTTTGCAGCTGAGATAAAGAACCCATGTAAGAAAGGTGCTCGAATTTGGCTTGGAACATTCTCTACACCTGAAGAAGCCGCGTTGGCTTACGATCAAGCAGCATTCAAGATTCGGGGTTCACGAGCCATGGTTAACTTCCCACATCTGATCGGATCAAAAACCATAAAACCTTTATGTTCTTTGTCACAAGTAGCTTTGGAATGCAAGTTAAAAAACAAAGGCTTCAAAACGGAAACCGAACATTGACTTTTTTTTTGTATCTTTATTTTAAAAACAATAATGAAGTTGTATATTTTACAGATTAATTTCTTTTGACATTTCTTGGTCTCAAGAATCGACATGGAAAAGTTCAAATTCTGTGCAGTAACTACATAACATAGGTGGACTTAAACTCTGATCCATAATTAGGGTTTACGTAGTCAATATAGTGGAAAACACGTGGTGATTGAACTGTGTTTGGTTAAGGGATCACAAGAATTTTAAAATAAGGAAATGATGACACATGCAAACTGTTATATTATGGTTGCATGCATATATAATATTCTGCATTGAATAGTCTCATAAAAGTTTTTTTTTTTTTTTTTTTTTTTTTTTAAACAATGCAACACGAGTGTCTAGTTGATGCTGTCAGATTATCCACATTTGATTTTTTATTTCAATAACAAAAACCAATTGCAAAACATGTATTACAGACAACAGAGATACATCAAAAACACAATAAGAAGCATCGGTAGAAACATCAAACATGGAAACAGAAACACATGCGAAGCCCTTAATTAAAATACATAGGCTAATCCCGATAACTTTCCATATAAAATGTGTTGTAAAGTATAGTAGAATCAGAATCATGGTACGATATGCTTCTTGTTATGGTTATAAAATAAATAAATGAAACATTCGTACATTGTTTAAGTTTCAAACATAGTATAGCTCATCAACTAGCAAGGATCAAAAAATGCACCAGATGTTGAACATGATAGTAGAAAGCTTGATAAAAGAGATGATCGATTCATTTTTTTGTCAGCAAAATGATGACTAATACAAATACAAAATATTAGAAAAAAGATAGCAACTTATAAAGCAACCAAGCACTTCGCAAAAATATGACAAACACATATGTTGGAAATATTTGACCCAGACCCGACCCAGGTCCGATCTGTCCACAAAACAGGTTTGTAAATGCTTTTAGAGATATGCCAGTTTCGTAACTATCACAAAAGGTATATAAAAAGACTGAACATTGGAATTTTTGTGATATGTTTTCTGGTTTATGTAAACACAAAACGAGGGTAGTGATTAGTTAAGAAGTAAAGTAGAAATGCTACAGTGATTCGCGAGGATTTTCAATACCTGGTATAAGAACTTCCAAAGATAATTTCCTGGTTAGCGTTAAATTTGTTCCATTTCTTATTTTTCGATGACGATTCATGTTATATTCTGTTATTTTCCGACGTTAATTTTTTTGGATGTGTTGGTAATAATTTGAATTGTGATGTATGGTAAGCAGCTCAATTCATTGATTGTTTCAAATGTAGTTACAAGGACATAACAACTCAATAAGTCAAATGTTGGGTAAACCAAAGGTTGTATGGCTTATATAAATAAGTCTTACTTATGAAAGACTTAAACGCAAGCAACTATTTGTATATTATGATTTACAAGACTCCCCCTTGCTATTTATATTTACATTGTACTAGTACTTCTTCGTTTTCTATATTCAGATAATACATCAAACATTTGCCTCGTTAAAAAACTTTGTTGTGGATTACCCTTTGGGACAAAAACTATAGTCGAAAGATAAAAAAGTAAGATGTGGAAGTCTTGATGTAACGTTCATTATCCATGTAATTTATATTTTTGACCCTTAATATGAGATATTGTTGCAAAATTGGTCCCATGGTTGAATTATGAGGAACACGCCTTTTGTCTAGTATGTTGGGCATATGTCATTGAAGGCAAAACCCTAATTTTTAGGGTTCGGACCCTATTTAAGTATCATTAACTCCAAAAACCTCTTCCCCTCATCAGTCTCCATTGCCAACTTCGTCCCTTACAAACCTTAATTATAATTGGTGGTGTTTTGAGCTCATTTTCGGTGTTGTTGTCCACTCTTGAAGGAAGGAAACCATTGGAAAGCAAGGAAGGAACTCCAAGCTTGGTAGATTTGAGTTTTACACTCCTTGGGCAACCTCCAAAAGCTATAAAGCTCTGAACTTGTTGGCTATTTCTTTAGATCTTATTAGATGTGGAGTTTTGTGCTTATTAGCCCCATAATCTTCGTCCATTTGGGTAGAAGCTACTCTACACCAAATGAGTTGTCATTTTGGACGTTTTAGAGTGTTTAGAGTGATAAAACTACGATCTTGGCACTTTTTTTCCTACCATGCAAAGGTTATGATGTCTTAATGTGTAAAGATGTTAGGATTTTAATATTTGGACACTTAATAGCCATGTAAGATCATAAAGTTGGAAACTTTATGATTTAGAACACTATTTGGGACTAGATCTGGGCTTTGGACGAAAGGAATTAATAGATTAAGCACTTATTATAAGGAAAAGTTGGCAGGTACGTAGCTGGGCGTACCTTATTGTACGGTGCACGTACCTGGTCGAGACCCCGCTTTCTGGCCGAGTGAAATGCATTACGATGGGCGTAATATCTGAGTCCGTCGGGCATACTCTGCCTGAGTAAACTCGATTGACTTTTTGACCTTTAACCTTGGCCACGATTTTAACCATGTTTGACCTAGGGGTATTTTGGGTATTTTGAGTTGTAGACTGAGATTTGGTCACTGTTTGCTGTAAAGGTGATCGATAGAGTTCGTATTCAAAGCAACGTGTTGTTCAACTATTTCGTCAGACTGTAAGGTGAGTTTTCCTCACTGAACTTGTGGGTCGAAAACACCAAGGTCGGCCCACTGGATTTTGTATCCTAATATATTGGATTGATGTTATGCTGAGTATGTGTTAGACCGGTATATTTGTATGATAACCTATGTTAACTAAGTATGCGTTAGATTGCTAGATATGTATGATTACTTATGTTGCTGGTTATTGATTGTTATTGTATATATGTCAACAACATGTGGTTTGTTGCGTTAAGGTGGTCTTGCTTTGTGCTGAAGGTCAAGATACCCGGGGTGTTCCAGATAGATTGAAGGCCTGCGAGGCGGTCCAGTCATGCCGAAGGCATGGAGAGCGATCCAGATAGATTTTAGGCCTTGCGAGGCGACCCAGTCAGGCTGAAGGCTCATATATGCATGTTGTTATTTGTATTGGTTGTTTATGGTACTTTGGGGAATTCACTAAGCGTTGGCTTACGATTTAAGTTTTATGTTTCAGGTACTTCAGATGATCGTGGAAAAGCAAAGACGTAATTATGCACATCTTTTATGGTTTTATGTTATTGGATTCTTGAGATAATCTAATTTTTTATTATTGTTTGTGAAAATAATGTTTTGTAAAGAATTATGGTTTTTGGTTGGGTTTTAAAAATGAATATTTTACCTTGATTTTTAGGATGTTACACTAGCGCGAAGGAAATAATCATATGTGAAGTATCTCATTAAAACCTTGTTACAACAAGACCTAGTGGGACAAAAACTCTAAACAAAAGACAAAAATGTAAACAATGGTTAACAAAGTATTTCAATTAGCTTCTCCCCCTGATTTATCAATGCTTAGTGAGAATGGGATACGCTTTGTGTCTCATTAAAAACAAGTTTTTCGAGGTACACCAAATAGGAAATTCTTTAAACTAAAGATAAAAAAGTACACAAACATTTGTCAGGATACTCCCCATCACATGCACTCAAGAGGTTGCTAAGCATACATCTGAAGCTATGTTTACATGTACACAACTGGGTACATGATACCGATGGGTTTTAGGTAAAACAAATAAACAAGAAAAACAATTCCTAAGTTCACATGCAACCTACTTTGGATCTATGTTTTAACTATTGAACATATAACTTTGAATTGCAAAGATAAGATGTGACAACCCGAACCTTATTCCGTCAACGTTAATCAAATTTCGTTAAATAAAATTATGAATTTTATTTGAACCGTTAAATTCTTATGATTTAGAAAATCGTTCCTTTTATTTAAATAAGAGTTGGAACCAAAATCATGCGAAAACCCGAGTTTTTCTTCGAAAATCAGCAAAATCCGGTCCAATTGGTGTTCACGGCCGTGAACCCAATCATGGCCGTAAACCGATCACGACTGGTGGACCCCACCACCGACCATGAACCCAGCCTATATATACGTGTTCCTACCCTCATTTATACTTTTCTGGCCGAAAACACACTTTCTCTCTCTAAAAACTACCACCCGAAAACCCAAGTCTTCTCTTTATCTATCACTCAATCCATCTTATAACTCGTTTTGGAGCATCAAACATCCGCCTTTTCATCAAATCAAGCATTGTTGTTCTTCAGTTCACGGTCGTAAACCCTTGAAATCTTCAAATCTTCAAGGGTCGAAATCAATTCACGGCCGTGAACTCTTCAAACCTTCATATTTTCTTCAAGAACACCAAGAACAGGTCGTGAACCATTCAAAGACCGTAAACCCTTCAAAGGCAGTAAACTGTTCACGGTCGAGAACAGTTCACGGCCGTAATCCCTTCACGGCCGCAATCAGCCCTACATCGTGAATCTTGGCTGCAAACCCACTTTTCCTCTTCAATCGAGTCTCGGTAACATTGCTTAACCAAAAACATGTGTTTTTCTAACACTTTAACTAATGGATTCGCTAATTTAAATACAAATATGTGTTTAATTATGATTAAGATTCCGTTAACTTCGCGTACAACAAACTCGAGGGTCCTCATTCCACTCTTTTTCCTGCATACACGCATCCATTAGTAAGTTCATACCCTACGCTTTTATTATTTTCACGTTTTAGGGGGAGAATACAAGTCAAACACAAATGGTTTTTGTGAACTTTATGCACAGAATTTCAACAGGACTAAAAATTATGCAATTGATACAACCAAAAGATTAACACATTTTATAAAATGTTTAGATATCTTATCCCTTTTGTAACATGTTGAGCATAATGGAAGTTTTCAACTCACAACTATAATTGCATAGTTTTCAGAACAACACAAAAACCGAGTACTTAATACACATGCAAACTATAATAGGTATAGTTTGGGATTCAATACACAGTTTTATCATCTCAGGATTATACATTTACAATTAAAATATGACAGATATAGTATATGGGATACATTACCACAT